TTGTCCAAGGCGTGAGTAATAATAAGACAATGTTGATCCCGCTTTAAAATGCAAGTTACACCTTCACAACCCTCTTCGTCTTCATCTCCTCTCCTTTCTCTTACAATCACACCACACCGGTCGCCCGACACACCACAAACAATCATCGCCGAGTGCTAGAACCTTCTTCTCGCGTCACTACTACTTGAACTTGACGATGATGACGGAGATGTTGTCCTGGCTGCCGAAGAGGTACGCGTAGTCCCGCAGCTTCATGCTGGCCTTGAGGATGTCGTCGCTCTCGCTCGCCACGATACGGCACGCCGCCTCATCCGAAATTACATCCCACACGCCGTCACACGCCTGCATTGGGAAACGCCGTGTGCGGTGAGACCCTGTTTGTTGTGGATGGGAGAAGAGGGTGTTGGGGGGGGGGGCATTACCAGGATGAGGAAGTCCGGAGGGTCCGCGATGTCGATGACGTCAACGTAGGGATCGGCCGAGATGAACGGCTGCAGATCCAAATCGCCAAAGGCCCTGGACACGGCCAGCATGCCCACGACACGGCCGTTGGGCGACACAAAGCCGCCCAGGTTGCGGATGCGTTTCTGTTCGTTGTGGCGCAGTAAGAAAGAGCTGTGAGCACGATAAAGGCCTCAATCGAGCAGCTATGGGCGGTAGTGGTTGGGTTACCTCCTCTTCCGGAAGATCGGGTTTGTGGTCGAGGGAGATGCGCGTCACCTGACCGTCCTTGTAGATGACTGCACGCGAATCTCCAACGTTTGCTACATACATCTTGGTGCCTGTGCGAAAGGAAATTCATGTGGTGAATTCAACCTGGTGTGTCGTCCGTGTGAAAAGAGAGGGAGAGGACAGGAGTAGAGTACCCAAGCACACAGTCACAACGGCAGTGGTGCCGCTCTTCTTGATGTTGTCGTGCGTCATCTCGCGACTGCATTCAATGAAGGACGCCTGAAGAGCACCAACGCAAGTAACACGAGGTCAGTACGCGCAGCCCATCATCGGGGAAATTGACAAGTCGAGAGTACCTTGATGGCCTCGATGACGTCATCCTCGTCAACCAGTCGCTCGGTGCCCTTCACTCCCTTGCTCTTGGCAGTCTTCTCGGCCTCGGCCCTCGCAGCCTCGAGCGCCTTAAGCTGCTCTTCCAATATGTCGTGGTGGCGCTTGGCCGCGTACTGCGCTGCCTTGTCGCCGCCGTGGCCATCGAACACCGCCAGATAGTCGTCGGTCTCGTTGCCCCGGTAGCCGCACAGCGTTACCACGGCGTCCTCCATCGTCCATCGTTTGCCCTTCATCTCGGCCTTGGCAACGCTGTACCTTCCGCTGGTCTTGGACGAAGCAGTCTCGATGGTGAGCGTCTTCTTGGCGAAGAGTTCCGGCGGCAGGGGGAACGAGGGGTTATCTCCTAGATCTATCTTTTCGAGGAAATTGAGGCTCTTGAGCGTGGGCGGCAGGTAGCACAGCTTGTTGTGGCGGGCGTCGATCAGCTCGAGGCCTGTCCGTAAGAGCAAGAACATGAGCGAAGCTCAGCACGATTATACATGAATCGCAAAACTTCAGGAAGTGGGTTTACCCTTCATCTCACAGAGAGTCTCAGGAAGGACTGTGAGTTCGTTGCCAGCAAGGTACAACTCCTTGAGGCACCTCATCTGTCCAATTTCCTTGGGCAATTCGTTGATTCGGTTGCTGCGTGTTTACACATACGAATGTGAGAATTACTGCGAGGGTGAGGGGAAAGGAACGAAGCGATCAAGTACCCCGTCAAATGAAGAATCGAAAGCTTGACCAAGGAGGAAATGCTAGGATCGATGCGCGTGATCTGATTCCACCCGAGGATCAGGCAGGTAAGCGTCGAGTGGCTCGTCACGTCGCGAGGAAGCTCCGTGAAACGATTGCCTAAGATTGGTAGAAAGTGAGTTCTCGCACTTAACTGTTGCGGCACGCGTACACTCGACGACGACGCCATTGTGCATACCTCCGAGAAGAAGCTCTTTGAGTGTGGTAAGCTTCTGAATGCCGGGAGGCAGGTCCTCGAGCATGTTCGCGCCCAGGTTCAGTACCTAGGTTGGTCAGAGGAAGCGATCGAACGTAAGCAAAGGAGGACAAGTCGATCGAAGGTAGAGCGCATGCGCGGCAAGAGAAAGAGATGAAGAGTGGGTGTTGCAGCGGACCTGAAGGCATTTGAGAGTCCACAACTCAGGAGGCACGCTGGAGATCTTGTTGTTGGAGAGGTTGAGCCTCTTCAACGCGGGAAGCTCAGCCAGCTCGATGGGCACCTCGGTAATATCGTTCTCGCGCAGATCTGGCGTTGTGATTTGAATTAATGGCTGTTGGTGCTGACAACGCGGCATCGCGAAAGATGCGCTGGTAAGGGGGGAAGAGATGGAAGGCGTACCGAGTTCTGTTAAAACTTTAAGATGTTGTATCTGGGCCGGGAGGCGTTTGATTCTGTTGTTGGCGATCGTGAGGCGCGTGACGGCAGCGAGAGCGTCGACGTTGCGCGGCAGAGCGGCGATGGAATTGTTCTCCAGCAGGAGCTCAGTGAGCGAATCGCAGACGGGAGGCTCGACGAGGTAGTTGTTCTGGAGGTCGAGGCAGCCCTTAATGGCGCCCAGGCTTGGTGGCAGCTGGGCGATTTGATTGTACTTGAGGCGGAGGTCGCGCAGGTCGGTCAATGCCTCCAGCGATGGGAGGGTCTTGAGCCGATTGTACTCGAGATTGAGCTTTTGTAGCGCGACGCATCGACCAAGCGAGGCTGGGAGGGTGGTGAGGAAGTTGTGTCTGAGGTTGAGCACTTGGAGGTTGGTCAGCTGCTCGACCTGGGGCGGGAGGGATTCCAATTCGTTCGAAGAGATGTCGAGGCTCTCGAGCTTGGTCATTTCCCACAGCGACGCGGGGAGGAACTTGAGCTTGTTGACCGAGAGGTTGAGAATGGTGAGCGTGCTGCTCAGATCGAAGACCTGAATGGGGATGTCGGTCAAGCTGTGCAGAGAGAAATCGAGGCGGCCTGTATCACGGCCTCGATCGAGAGCCATCTTCTGGTTTGCATCGAGGGGCGTCGGATCCTCGATGTTGAATTCATCCAAATTAACCTCGTACGAGGTCAAATTACCCATTTCGCTCCCCAGAAGAATCGATGGACCTGCTTCGTGTCCTGTCAATCCAATTGGAGCTTCTCCCCTCCTTGCGTCTCTGGTCGAGGCAACAAAGCCAGAGAAATTCAAAAAGAAATGTCGGCCCAACGGTTTCGGGTTGTCTCGCCAAGAGCCAGGACGGCAACACCTTGCTGGTTGCCGAGGCCTGGCTGATCAGCTCGAGCTTGTTCAGCCAACCTTGCCATCTGGCTGCAGATCAGACGTCCACTTGTCCGGTCGCAGGCGTGCGGTGGCGTTCTTGAGGTCTGAAGGCGAAGAGCTTCGAAGTGCGGTTCGGCAGTTGCACGGCAGCACCAGTGTTTTAATTCCGGGCGCCCGCAACTTTGCACACAACACAACTAACCCAGTACACCCACGATGGAGCGGCTACTGTCTGGAGGCGACGCTGAGTGCAGCGTACAGCGTATGTTGCTCTCATCAAATGCAAGAAACTTCTCCTGTCACATTTTCTAGATTTTTTTTAGATTTTCATTCTGATGATGATCTTGCATCTAAGAATGAAATCGGGAGCAGGCATGGTGATGGCTTCCGCAGGAGTGAAGGATAAGAACAGCAAGGGAAAAGAAACTGCTATCGAGGTGGACGAAGCCGCCTTTCTGGCCAAGTACAAGATGGGGCAGGAGCTCGGCCGCGGGTCCTATTCCATCGTCAAGCGCGCCACCAACCGTAAAACCAAAGAAAAGGTGCCCTTCCTAAATTGTATTTTTAATATGTATTATTTTATTTATATGATTTTTAATTATCAATGTTATATTATTCTCATCTTTGGCTTGGCTGCGACTGGCGCAGGTGGCGGTCAAAATCGTGAACCGTGCGCTGATCAGCACAGACGACGAGCGACACCTGCAGCAAGAGCTGGAAATCGCCAAGCGAGTTCACCACCCGAACATCATCCGCATATACGAGCACATCGAGACCAAGGACACTGTCTACATAGTCATGGAGCTCGCCGAGGGCGGTGAGCTCTTCGAGCGGATCGTCGCCAAGGGCCACTACTCGGAGGCAACAGCCAAGGCCATCATCAGGTAGCAACGCGTGTGCGGTGGTCCGTGTGCGTGTGCGAGGGGACAATGTTAGCGATAGGACTGACTTGCTTATCTTGGAAGGAAAATTGTTGGTGCGACCGACTACCTTCACGACATGAAGATTGCACACAGGTATGCGATCAACTTCAAGAGCCCCTCTCTCACCGTCAAACAACTCACACTACTGCACTTCCTGGTCCTGAAACAGGGATCTGAAGCCGGAGAACCTGCTCGAGAAGAGTCGTTCGGACGACATCCATGTGCTGGTGGCCGACTTCGGCCTTGCATGCATCATCGGTACGAGCTACAGCTCTTGACAATAATCACGACTCTGCAAATCATCTGACCTTCACATCATGTACGACAGGCGAGGAGGACCTAATCAAGCACGCGGCTGGGTCTCCTGGGTACACAGTGGTTGGGTTAGATTGAATGTCATTGGGCTACAACCCACAACGCCTTTTCTGTCCTCATTACTTAGGTACATAGCGCCGGAAGTCCTCACGGGCGAGAGCTTCGGATTGGAGGTGGACATGTGGAGTCTAGGCGTGATTACCTACATCCTCTTGTGCGGCTACCCTCCCTTCCACGATGACGCAAACAGGTTTGTACCTTCGCGCACCTCGCACACGCGCCACCGTACACGCACAAGCCAACGTTGATCACAACTGCACCTCACGCGCGCAACGTAGTACTCATACTCAAACACGCCAGGACGAAAGTGATCTACAAGCTGATCAAGCAGGGCAAGTACGAGTACGCGCCAGAACAAAGCTGGCAGGGAGTGTCGTCGGTGGCGAAGGACTTCATCGACCACCTTCTCGTGGTCGACTACCGGCAGCGATTCACCGCCAAGCAGGCACTCGCCCACCCATGGCTCTCCGGGCACAAAGCAGACCACCACGCCCACCACCTGCCGCACCTGGCCACCCAACTCGGCAGTTACATTCACCTCCGAAAGTCCGACGAGAGCAACAAGCCCAAGCTCGGCGGCCACCTTCACTTTGGACACAAGCACTCGCACTCCTGATCACCTCTGGGCTGTGCCATAAAGACGCTAACATGATCAGCAAGTTGCGGTATCTTCTCCACCCAAACTGCTCGTGCAAGGTGGGTCCAACGCAGAAGCCTGTTCGGCCGGCTTTTGCCGTTGCGCTTTCTTGTTCGGCTGAACTTGCCACAGAAATGTGCCTGGTAGATTAAATCACGCAGCATTTTAGTGACACTGCCAAGGTTCTCATAATTGAGCTCAACGATGGGCGACATTGAGCCTGCCTCTTACGCCTTCATCCTCTTCTTCCTCTACTGTATACTGGCGTCCATCGCCACGTTTCAAATCGCCAGAATCGTTTGCTATGGGTGCGCCAACAATTCTTATATTCCATGAGATCGGACCAACTCATGGCATACCCCAATGCAGGCACAATCTATGGGGTTGGCAATTTGGTTTCCTGGTTCAATGCGTGCCCTTCTCCATCCTACGCGCCATCTTCTTCCTTCTGATTGATGTTCTCGAGCTGAGCAATATCGCTCTCACCTTCACCATCTACTGGCACGTCCCCCCCGCGTTTCGTTTTCAAGTGTCGCAGGCGCTCACATCCCTTCCTCCACTTCTCGATGTTGCTCTTCAGGATTCCCATCAACCTTCAGTTCAGCACCTTTTCTCTCCTCATCTTGTTCTACGCGCACATCTACTATAAGACCGAAAAGCAGTGGGAGAGCCGGCGGCTGCCCTTCACCTTGATCTTTGCCATCACCAACCTCGCCTACCTCGTGGTCACCATCGGTACGCCGACCTCGGATAACGCCTTTGGTTGATGATGGTTCCTTCCTGATGATTCTTGTGGCTTGCCATTGCGCAGTGGCGGTGTCTCTCGTGGCGACGGAGGGCACGCAGGGCGATTGGGAAAACAAGATGTGGAACATCGTGTCGGCGATCGGCTTCTTCATGCTCGTCTTCGTGCTCGCCTACTACGGCCTGCGAGTGGCTAGCCTCATGCGCGAGGGCAAGGCCCAGATCAGCTTCCAGCCGAAAAAGTCGTCCAACGTGCAGGTGGTCTCGGTGACCGCCGTCATCTTCCTGTTGTTCACCACGCGTGCCATCTTCAACGTGCTCTCGGCCGTGGACACCATCGGCTTTACCGTCGAAAGCGTAAGCATGGCCTTCCCTTTCCATTTCATCTGTTTCATGACGAAACTCACCCCCTCTTTTTTGTGTCCTGGTCAGGGGTTGGAGCTGAATGATCTGGGCATGTTTGCGCTCTTCTTCGTCTGGGAGATCGTGCCGACCAGTCTTGTCATTATCCTCTTCTGGCGGGTGAGTCTCCCTTAGCTTGCACTGAGCAATTGCTCGGCAGCTGACTTTGCGGAACAACAGATACCGAGCCCGAGGCGCCAGCAGGCGCTGCTGCCCAACGCACAGGCCGTGCCTTTCCTCGTTAGCGCGGTGAACGAGAGTTCGGGCACTTCTCTCACTCTATATTTCCGTGCCTTGTGCTGCGAGTCTGCGTCTCACCATCATACTTGTCTTCGTGTGTCGTTGCCACTTGTGCAGAGGATCGTGCAGCATATTCGACCGATACAACGGTCAGAACCTCGCTGTTCGACAACCCACAGAGATACGACTCAGACGAAGACAGCCCCAACTACAGCGCCTCTCCGCGATTCTACCTGCCGGCCAACTCGCCGTATTCCCCCTACGATACCAACCCCACGCCGCCCTCGGTATGCTTCTTCACTTCAGTCCCAGACCTGGAACATTCCCTGACCCCGCCGTATCGTTGTTCTTCTGCGTCGTGTTTGCCGGGTGGGTGCTGCGCAGTACGGGGTGCTCTCGCGAGGCGGGGATTCCGAGCTTAGTTCGAGTTGAGGCCTCGAAACAGCGTCACTTTGTATTTATTGTACTCTTCTACTTCTTCTTTCCAAAAAGAAATCATCTACTCCTTCATTGCCCAGACTTCCTCTCCTTGCTTGGTGGGGCACCAACACGAACAGGTGCAGCGCAAGCAAGACGTGAAATTGCGCGAACATTTTCGCAAGCAAACGACACAAGGGAAGGAAAATCAACAAAAGCTAAAATCGAAGGAAGAAGACGAGGGGTGCCTCAGTCTGAGTGCACGATGAGCTTGCAGTTTTTCATAAGCAGCGACATCAATCTCCCCGTCGCGATTAAGATGTACCTCTCTCGAACGCAAAACTGCATTGCGCATCTATCATATCATGCATCATGTTTCTTGAATTGACCAACTGGTTGGTGCAGCGTGAGCTTCCACAATGTCGTGGTGCCGCCACCGAAGAGCCCCCTGGAAGACCTCTTCGATTTTCTTGAGGAGCCGCAGCTGCTACGGTTCATCTCTTTCCTCCCTGCAGCCCAAGAGCGCCTCTTTGCCTTCGGCGCCCTGTGGGCTTGCCCTCACCGCTTTATGAACGCACGCACAGGGAAACGGACGCGCAGGAGGTCTACTTGACCCTTCAGCTCTTGGGCAACAACGGCAAGCCCCTCATCCCTGAAACCACCGTGCCTCGTATCCAGTACGTGCCTTTCTCAGCCACCGCTGAGTTGTTGCCATGACCATCTCTCCTTCTTGGTAGCGTGTCTCAATGCGAGTGGTTGCCTCTCTTCCTCCGTTCGTGAACAGTCTGCGCGAGTGGCAGCGCTTGCCCATCAAGTACAGAGACTTGCCACTTTCGGCGCAGGTGGTGCTCAAGATATGGAGCTGCGTGGCGCCACGCAAGGCCTTTTGCATCGCAGGCGTCTCGTACGGCCTGTTCAACAAGCACCAGTACGTAGCATAGGCGCAACGCGCGCTGTGGTAGTGGCGCCGCGTCTTACGCTTCGCAACCTGGCAGACAACTACGCAAGGGCAAACACAAGGTGCAGCTTTGGCCGATCAAGGAAAACGATGAATCACTTGACTACGTCGCGCCAGGAAAGATCTCTGTGCATGACGACGAACTGTGGCGCATTGAAAAGGTTTGCTCCTCTTGGCGTTCATCAGCTAAAATTTGTAAAACAAAAGCTTACTGTTTACCATTACAACCATTGACCTGCTCCGCAGCTGGTGCAAGAGTACAAACGAGGCCAGGTCCCCCGAGTCGACTGGCTTGACCAAATCACGTTCAAGCAGATCGCGGAGAGGATCAACGCTCAGGTGAGCACCGCCATTACTTGCACAGTTTGTGTCTTTTCTTCTTTTGATTCTAACCAAGGTATGACGTTCTCGCCACAGTCGGTCATGGACCACAAAGCGCATATGTACATAGAGTTCCCTGCATTCGAGCACACAGTGGTGTTTCACGAGCGGGACAACCCCGGCTGTGCCAATCAAGCCAACCTCAACTCGGAGACGCCATTCATTGAGGACCGCAGCAACCGCAAGCCGCACCTCTCGGACGCCGCCTCAGCCGCGATCGGTCTCGCAGCCAACGTCGTCTCCACGGGTACGCGTTGGTGATTAACCAAGCGCGGATGCTGTTTGGACTTTTCTTAAACGGCTTTGGCTTGTGTGCAGGTGCCGAGCTCAAGTTCACAGTGGTGCACGACCCCGAGGCCCTGCGCAAAGACAATCCAGTCGAGAACAAGTACCTCAAGTTGATGCGTTACAACCGAGGACTCTTGGACAAAGACCTCAAGCCCGACCAAAAGGAGCGCAACCAGCTCAAGGTTCGTGTGGGATTGGCTGACTATTGGTTGGTCTCGATCCAAGTCTTAACCGATGTGTTACGACCTTTTTCGTTCTCCATAGCGAATTCTCAACTACCCTACGACGAAGCAACTCACGGCCGAGGAGAAGGAGTTCTTGTGGAAGTTCCGCTTCTACCTCAAGAACAACGCAGCGGTACGCTCTAGAGCCATCCCATTTACAAACAACTGAAGGACGCCTGAAGTCTAATTTATTTTACTCTCTGCCATACAGGCGCTTACCAAGTTTGCTCGCTGTGTGGACTGGAGCCACCGGAAGGAGCGCAAGCAAGCCATGAAGCTAATATCCGAGTGGGAGGTGCGCATACCCTGAGCGTTCAACTTTCTCTTCATTCTTGTTCTTGTAGTAATTGATGATGAATACGTCGCTCACTTTGCCCAACAGGCCATTGAAGTGGATCACGCACTTGAGCTGCTTTCGGCGTCCTTCGCTGGCATCAACCCTCTGCGCCGCTATGCCGTGAAGCGCCTGGAGGAGGCCAAGGATGAGGAGCTGCTCTCCTATCTGCTTCAGCTGGTACAGGCGCTGCGGTACGAAAAAGGCTTCCTATCCGACGAGCAGATCCTGGCTTCGCAAACGGTACACCAACTGAGCCGCTTCTCATATTTGTATGTTTGCGTTTGGGATCACAGCTGACCTTGCGTTTTGTGTGGTGGCTCGTCTTCAGGAACAACAAATCATCGAGCCGGGATTGCCGACCAAGAAGGTGAGCAGAACGAGGGACCTTCCAGCTACACTTCGCAGGAAAAAGACTTCTGCAGGCAACGTGGCTGCTAAGCGCTCGCTCACCACCGCTTTGTCGAACATTCGCAAGGTCTGAACCACAATACCTTTATGCTTTGCGTACGCGAATGATGCCTCTAACAGTTTTGCAATTCTTCTATGCTCAGGAAGAGGAAGGCGCCGCAGGGTCCATCAACGGCGGAGTGATGATCTACACCGAGATGCCTCGTCTGGCCCAATTCCTCATCGACAGGTATTTGGCGCCTCTCCTCCGCGACTTTCTCTTGGCTTTAGACACTTTTCCTGACGGTTCCGTTGCCGCACAGAGCCATGAAGAACCCTAAACTTGCCAACTTCCTCTATTGGTACTTCACGGTTGAGGCCACCCAGGACCAAAAGGTGCGCCCATGACCGTGCGCGCTTGCAGAACCGTTTTCACCTGCTAACTGGAATCGCAGCCAACGGCGTACGGGCTCAGCTACAGACGGACACTGGACCACTTCATCGCACAGCTGGGCGAGGTACCATCATCATTCGGGCTCACTAATTCGTGTGGGCAGGTGAGTTAACAGCTGTTGCGCTACGTGTATATATGTTAAGGTGGAGGACGGGCAGCAGCAACTGCTCTATTTCTCGCGCCAGAAGAAGCTCATCGGTGAACTCATCGAGCTGTACAACCAACTTAAGGCCTCGGGAAAGAACGTAAAGCGAAAGGTAAGTGGCACTGGCACCCAAGCAGGCTTTCTGGAGTCCCTTGTTCCTGACTTTCCTCTCGCACCACTTTGTGGCGCTTAGGTGGAACGGCTGCGAGAGTGGCTGGAAGGCTACCGGTCGTTTGACCCCTTCCCTCATCCACTCAATCCAGACATTATCGTGACTGGCCTGATTCCCGGTAACACCCCTTCTCCTTCTTATGCAGATTTTCTGCTTACTCTGAGTGGATTCACCGAGCTGATCATTGATGGTAAATCAAACAGAGAAAGCCAGTGTGTTTGGTAGTGCCATGGCGCCTTTCAAGCTGGTCTTCCGCACCGATACGGGAGGCGAATACTCGGTACGTAACTCATAATTCCTTCAGGTTTTTGTTGTGTTGGACTCTCCCCAACGGTTGTCATGTCCCTCGCCAGATCATTTTCAAGTGCGGCGACGACCCCAGGCAGGATCAGCTCGTCATCCAACTGATCTCGCTCATGGACTCGCTGTTGAAAAAGGTATGTCAAGGCTACGCGAGTCTATTCACGCGACAAAACTAATCGTCTTGCGCGTGTCGTGTACTTTTCGTCCAGGTCAAATTCGACCTCAGCCTGACGCCGTACGGCGTGTTGGCCATGTCCTGCAATGAGGGCATGGTGGAGTTCATCCCCTCGGAGCCGCTGAGCAAGGTGCTTGCGCAATACGGGCGCAATATCCAGAATTTCCTCCGCCAGCACCACGCCGAAGACACCGGTCCGTTCGGCATCGAACGCGAGACACTTGACATCTTCATCAAGAGCTTGGGTACGCCCTCACACTCACCCACCCGTCGGCCAACCATGATCATTGTCAGCTTACATGGGTCGCTGTGTGCGCGAATTCAACGTTGTCGCCAGCGGGCTACTGCGTGATAACGTACATCCTGGGAATCGGAGATCGACACAACGACAACTTGATGCTGCGCTCCGAGGGTCATCTGTTCCACATCGATTTCGGATTCATATTGGGGGCCGACCCCAAGATCTTCCCTCCGCCGTTCAAGCTCACCTATCAGATGGTGGAGGCCATGGGCGGCGAAGCTTCGGAGGAGTATGAGCAATTCAAGGTACTACTACTACCACTACGGAAACATACCTGGGGAGCGCATCAGCGACAGCTGTAGGGGACTCAACAAGGGTTCTTCATTGATTCGTGGTTGTGGTGGCAATGGTGTCCAACAGTCCTACTGTTGCTCGTGCTTCATCATCCTTCGCAAGAACGCGAATCTCATCCTCAACCTGTTCTCGTTGGTACGTGGCCTCGACCTTCACCCGAACCATGGCACGGAGAACCAACCTTGGGCATTATCGTGTCTTTTTTTCTTCTCTGCAGATGGTTGATGGTGACATTCCTGGCATTGCGGACCTTGGCGGCGAGAAGAGCATACTCAAGGTGATCTTCCTCTTCTCTTCACCAACGCAATGTTGTGTGGCCAACGCCAACTCACGCTTGGCCATCGTTGACATTCGTTCACATCCCCCCAATGTAGGTCCAGGAAAAGTTCATGCTGGACTTGACGGACGAGCAGGCGATCAAGGAGTTCCAGGACCTCATGAAGTCGGCGGTGGAGAACATGTGGGCGCCCCTCTTCGACAAGGGGCACGACATCGTCCAAAAGTTCAAGTGATCTCCTCGGACCGAACTACCTTATTAGTCGACAAATAATTTTGCTTTCTTTTTTTCGCGGTCTCGCACTGCAGCGAAATAAAGGGTGGAGCACTTCCTCTTGCCCGGTGCAGCACCAGCAATTTGCAAACGAGCGTCCGCTGATTCCACCATAGGAGCAAACCACCGGCAACCATCACCATGGCCTCTCGCTGTGCGCCCTCCCCATTCCTTCTTTTGATTTATAAATAGATAAATAGATAAATTAATAGATGCAAAAATAATTCATTTCTTCAATATTTTTTTGGCGTTGCTCACCCACGCTGTCACGCAGGTGTGGGTCAAATTTTCAGTCTTTCGAACGAGGTGCGTTTGTCTTTAGCCAAGGGTGCGTTGTGTTTGACTTGGGCTGACGAGGCGGGCGTGATTCACGGACAGGAGCTTGAGAGTGCGGCAGAGGCGCACAGCAAAAACGCAGAAAGCGGCAAAGAGGAGGACACCGGAGTTGCCGAACAGGTCCGCGTGCGTCTTGAGGAAGACCTCAACAACGCGTGCTCCATCGCCTGCGGCAGTGCACACGTTGCCGTAGCCACCGGTGAGCTACCCGCTCCTCTCTCTCTCTCTCTCCACCTCTAGTCGTGATCTAAAACCTTCAATCATCGCTGCGTGTGGCAGACAACGGAGCCGTATACACCTATGGCAGCGGTCGCCTGGGGTGCGTTGTCGATTCGTCTCTCTCATGAAGATTCGGCTCTGCGGCGTGGACTACTACCTGTCCCAAACGCATGATGTTGATCTGGCTAACGAACGCCCCTACGCGTCGCACAAACAGACAACTTGGGCACGGCAACAAGAAGGACGTCGAAGTGCCGCATCTGGTCGAAGCCCTGCGCCAGCATCACATCACCACCGTCGCCTGCGGCCGGTACGTCGGCACACCATGGCGCCACCCTCTTCGTGGTGCCACGGCCTGACAACGAAGAGTGACTGACTCCCTGGGCCATTGCAGAGACCACACCGTGGCGGCCACCGACACTGGCGAGGTCTTCTTCTGGTACTTCACACCACGTGGTGCGTGGTGATTGTGCTGAGCGATGTGTTTATTTTTTGTTTTTTTTACAATTTTGCGCAGGGGCAATCGTGTGGACTTCGTGGGATCGGGCAGCGTGGCAGATGCCGAGGTGCTCCCCGTCCGTATCGAAAGCCTGGCAGGGGTGGTCATCCGCCAAATCGCCTGCGGCGCCTACCACACCGCCGTCCTCGCCGGTACTACTCATCAGCATCACTCATTTCCTGAACCAGTGCTGTTATGAGTGACCTTTACTAACGAGCGGACGCAAATCAAGAAAATGGCGATCTGTACGTGTGGGGCGAGTACCAGGCCACCAAGTCGTGCGCGCAGTGTAATCACCGCGATCCGTTCCTGGTGTCGAAGGCGATCGAGGGCCAGATCGTGTCGATCGCATGTGGACCGCACCAAACCATCGCCGTCACCAGTACGCGCTCGCAATCGCACAACACGCACGATATGCGCTACACGCACGCGCTTACGTTTGTCTTATCACCTGGACAGAGGACCACCGGGTGTGGGCGTGGGGCGGCGGAGTGCTGAAGAATCCCACCAACGGTCACGCGGATCTGCACCAGTTTCATCGACCGACGCCGGTAGAAGCCTTCGACGGCTACAAGGTGGCCCAGGTGGCCTGCGGCGACTTCAACATCGTCGGCCTCACAGGTGAGCCTCTCACCTCTTTCTTTCCTTCTCTCTTGGCTGTGCCCAAGCTAACTTTTGTGGAATCCCGACAATGTGGTCTCATACGCACAGTGCACGGGGAAGTGGTCATCGCTCACGATCTCGACTACTTCAAGAAGTCGCGTAAGAACACTGCATCCAGGGGATACGGTTGGGGAGGGTCCGTACACGCTCCACGCGCACGCGCACGCGCACGCGCACGCACACGCTTCGTTTGGTCTCACATTGCGAGAGCCGGGCCGCGCTAAATGAACAGTTTCTATGCCCTGGGCGACTACCGCGACACGCCCCTGGAGGTGGACGACTCGAAACCGCATCGCATTGTGGCGACCAACGTGAAGCCGCTCTTCGGCATCCGCATGCTTCAGGTCACCGTCTATCGGTACCGTCTCCCAGGCGTGCAATCCTGCTTAGGCGAACCTTGACCCTCTAACTTGCATTCGTACGACACGCGACACACGCGACAGAAATACGGCCATGGGCGTGACTGCATTCGGTGAGGCCTACACGTGGACCCTTCCCGACCCTTGGCAAAGCTTCTCCAACGCGGTCACTTCGGTCAAAGTTGACGCGCTCAACGTACGTTGCCCCCGCCCGCCCGCAGTCCTGCGCTGGGTTTCCAATCAATTGGCTGACCCGCACGATTCCCTCCCAGGGCATCGTGGTGGCCCAGGTGGCCTGCGGCGGAGAGCAGACGGCGCTGCTGGCCGACGAGAGCACCTTCCTCGCCACCCAGCTCCGACATTCGCTCGACGCGCCCCAATTTGCCGACCTGCGCATCGTCATCGACGGCCATCAGATCCTCGCCCACAAATGGTAACACGCTACCGTTTGTGCTTCAACTCTTCGCTGTGTGTGGGCATGCGCATGTGTGCGGTGGTGCTTACAGTGCTGTGTGCAGCATTCTGGCGGCGAGGTGCAAGCACTGGCAGACGCTGCTGTCGCTGCCGGCCGCCCAGCTCGGTGGCTTCCATTTGGACCGCGACAGCCCCGATGGCATCGACACGCTCACCTTCCCCAGCGGCCACCCCGACGACGGCCGCGAACCCACCAGTGTCGACGCCCAGCACGGCAAGGCCCACAAGCAAGTGTTCTCTTATTCAATCGTGCTGGCCCTCCTGCAGTACCTCTACACCGACAAGCTCATCGTTCCGAAGCAGTTCGAGAAGCTCGCCACCGACGAGAAAAAGAGAACGAAAGCGAAGCAAACGGAGAAGCACAAGAAAGTTGAAGAAGACGAAGAGGCCGAGGCCGACGAAACAGAGAACCAAGAAGATGAAGAAGAGGCGAAGAAAGAGAGGCTCGCGTGGTACAGGCAGCTGGAGAGGGCGGCCAAGTACTTCAAGATCGCACGCCTGCGGAGGCTGTGCCAACGGGCCACCCGGAACCGCGGCTTCGCCGTCCAGGTGCCCTCGTCCTCGCTCGGGCTCGACCTCCGGTGGCTCGTCGAGCCCCAGCTCCAGGCCTTTGGCGTCCGCGATCCCCACTGCGACGACGACGACGACGACGAGGACGATAACGGTAACGGCCAAGCCGCCAGTTTTAACTCCGACCACCACACTAGCAAGGCGCCAACCGACGCGACAGAGAACCAGAAGGCAGTCACTTCAAACCTGCGATTCGCGGAGATGCAGGCGGCGATGAAGAAGATCGAGGAGGAGTACGCGCAGAGCCTGGAGCGCGCGCACGACAGGTACCTGGGCCAGATGCAGCAGGCGGTCGAGCTCTATAGGTCCGAGCTTTCGATCGAAGCGGTCGTGCTGCGCACCAATCATCAGGCGTGGGCGAGGGAGCGCGCCCGGGCCGATGCCAGCGCGAGCGCACAACGAGCGGCCGAGGCGGCCGAGCTCGAGGCCAAAGAACGAAAAGCGAGGGAAAAGGAGGAAAAGCGACAAGCGCAGATCCGGCGGGAGCAGGAGGAGCAGGCGAAGAAGAACGACGACGACAGGAAAAGAGCGAAGCAGGAGGAGCTGGCGCGGCATAGGGAGGAAAAAGCGAAAGAAAAGATCGGCTTGGGCGGAGGCGACGAGAGCGACTTGGAGCGGCAAATGGTGCAGGAGCGGGGCGCCGATGTCAAATTCCTGCTCGGTGGCGGGTGCCTGTGGGCGCACAAACTGGTCATCACGTCCTCCTGCGAGCACTTCCGACTCATGTTTGCAAGCGGTACGCTCGACACGACACGCGACACACGGCGCACACACGACGCACACGACACACGGAATGTGCTCATTGCGCGTGGAATGGTTAGGAATGCGTGAGAGCGAGCTGGGAGAGGTTGATCTGGGCGAGGGCGTGGAGGCGGGCGTGTTCGTCCACATGCTGGCCTTCCTCTACACGGACTCGCTGGCCGGCGTCGATGCCAACACGGCCATCGATCTCATCGCCATCGCCGACCAGTTCATGCTGCCCCGCATGAAGAGCATCTGCGAGATCCGCATCCAGAAGGATATCGACCCGGACAACGTGGCCTACGTCTTCCAGGGCGCAGACATGTATCAGGTACTCTCGCACGGCACACACGACACACACACGACACGACACGACACGACACACACGGCACACACACGGGCATTGACACGTAACGCGTAGGCGACGCGGTTGCGAAGCTTCTGCCTGGGGTTCATGGCGCACCACTTCGACGAGGTGCAGCACACGGAAACGTTCGCCGCTCTGCCGCCCCATCTCGCCAAGGAGGTGCGCGACAAGGCCAAAACCGTTCAGCGCGCCGCGCCCCATAAGCCGGCTCCAGTGCCCCAGGCGCCGCCACCCCCAGCAGCGAAGATCGGTGGTGGTGGACCAGCGATGAAGGCCGGAGGAAGGCCGCTGCCTCCACCAGCCCCGGGCGGAGGGGGACCGCCGCCGCCGCCGCCCACGACAGCGCAGACCCTCGCCGCCCAGCAAGCCATTGCGGCAGCGTACCCGACCGCGGAGCACGCGCAACCACAACCCGACCGGCTCCTTCTGGCGACGCCCCACGACGCAGCTCCGAGGCGAGGTGGTGGCAAGAAGAAAAAGGACAACAACTGTCTTGTCTCCTGATGTTGTTGTATGACGGCACCACCATGATGACGAAGATGAACTACTGCAAGCTGGTTAGTCCCTTTCTATTGTCCTTTTTTGTCAGAGCCAGAAAGACGACCAAGGCGAGCACGAACGGAAGGCGAGCATCATTCGTTGGTGACATTCACTTCTTACCGGTCAGTGTAGGATTAGCCAATCAAGTCTTGTTTCTTTCTGGGTTTGGGAACTTGAATTGTTGCCTAAAAGTACTCTTGTCTTGTTTTCTGTCTTCCGCACTGAACACGATGGACTCTCTCACCCTCCCGCCTGAGGTGCGCTTCTTCAACGGATAAACCCTAACGCTTGTGTCTTTTTTTAACCAGTTATCTTTATTCTTCTTTTTTTTATTATAAATTTCTATTCACCCCCCCCCCAATGGTGGTCGGCAGGCGTGGGTGCACGTTCTTTCGTTTGTGGATGCCAACAGCATTGCGAACCGGGTCGGTCTCGTTTCGCACGCCTTCCACGCGTTGGCCACCGAGCCGCAGCTCTGGCGCCGCCTCGTCCTCCGCGACTTCCCCGCCTCAAGCTCCTCGGCAGACTCTGCCAGGCGCAACCTGTACGAAGGCGAGCCCGATGGCTGGCGCAAGACCTTCTACGCCCACCGATGGCTTGAGCGCTCGGTACCGCTCCGCACGATGCCCCCCCTACAAGACCCAGCTCTGACCCGAATGTGTCGGCCGGCGCCGCGTTGATAGAAGCGGCCCCGGTTCTGTCTTCTGGGCCACGTTGACTGCGGCAAGTCGACCCTCCTGGGTACCACGTGAACAAAACCTCTTCATTTTAGCTCCGACGTGTGTGGCTGATGAGGTGCGACGACTGTCAGGGCGCATGCTGCTGGGTTTGGGCCAGGTCACTCAGCAGGAGGTGAACCGGCTGAGAGATGCCGCTTTTGAGTGGGGCAAGGGCTCGTTCATGTACGCGTGGTGCTCAGACCGCACGGACGCCGAACGACAGCGTGGCATCAGTACGCGTTTATGATGAACTCATCTACTCGGTTGGCGCGCATTAACTCTCAGTGTCTGACTCGCGCGGTGATGTGTGTGCGTGTGCGGTGGTGTGTGCGTGTGCGTGTGCGTGTGGAATCTAATGAGCAGCAATCGAATGGCACGCAAAGGAGTGTACGCTGAGCAGTGGCCGCGAGATCGAAATCATTGACGTGCCGGGCCACCGCGACTTTAACAAGAACGCTTCCATCGTACGTTGAAAGGCGCAGTTACTTCTCGTGTGGACGTCACACCAACTCGCCACTGGCACAAACCACAAAAAAATGGTCGCACGCGTGCTGTGAACAGGGAGCCTCGATGGCTGATGTGGCGATGCTCGTGGTGGGTGCCGGCCACGGCGAATTCGAAGCTGGCGTTAGCGACCACGGCTGGTTTCTGGGAGGTAAGCTGCAACATGTTGCAGAACTCACTTCCATTCCTTGTGCACAACGTGCTGATCTCACATATGAAACACACGACACACCAGGCACCAACCACCACCTGCTGCTGGCCAAGAGCCTCAGCATGTCCAAGGTCATCGTCGTGGTCAACAAGATGGACGATCGCAGCGTAAATTATAGCCAGACCCGCTTCAACGTACCCTCTCCCTCTCTTCTCTTGAGAGAATAGTCGCTGCCCATTCGTGGCCCACTCACGCCCGTGCGCTCCGCTCTGCCACAGGAGATCAAGGACGACGTGTTGCGCATCGCGGGCGGCGTTGGATACAAGCCCGAAGGTACGTCATGGCCCACCACTGTTCTGTCATTCGTGTGCCTGACCTTTACCCACACACCACCGCACACGCACACACCATCGCTCACGCACACACGCACACACGCACACAATCACGCCAGACTTGGAGGTGGTTCCCATCTCGGCGTGGACTGGCGAGAATGTGGTGACGGCGCCGTCTTCGATGCCCTGGTACAATGGTCCGATGCTGTTCGAGGTCATGGAGCAGGTGGCGAGGGCCGTCACGACGTCGGCGCCCGGCGAGGTGGTGGCCAAGCGGCCGGTGTTCGGTCCCACGCGCGTGTCGATCTTGCAACGGGTGAACAAGCGGTGCACCACCACCGGCACTGACATTGCACAGAAGCAAGAGGAGGTGGTGAAGGCGCTGGTGCAGTGGGGAACGGTGCGCGAGGGGCAGGTCCTGGAGGGGTGCTGCCGACGCCCGTCGTCACACCGACCCCTCGACGTCGTGCGGGTGTCTTGCCACAGCCGACCACCTCCGTCGCCACCTTCACCGTGCGCAGCATTCAGCGCTTCCAAACGCCCAGGTGCAAGGAGCCCCGTGACCTCCTCCGGCCTCAGCACTATGTTACCACCACACGGCACGACGCGGCCCGAATGCTAGTATGTGTGTGCGCCACTTGTGCTTTACCTGTGGTGAGCAGATCCAGGGCCGCGGCGGGCGAGTACGTCGGGCTGCGACTGAGACTGGAACACCTTCCCCCCGCAGCGGAAAGTGCCGCTGCGGCTGCGACAAGGCATTTTCCTCTTCGTTCTTCGTTCTTCGTTCTTCGTTCTTCGTTCTTCGTTCTTCGTTCTTCGTTCTTCTTCGAATGCCATTCCAGATCTGATGTGTTCGCTTTCGGCAGGAATTCGTCGAAGGCAATACCGCTCCTGCGTAGGGGCATGGTGCTGCTGGCCGCTGCCGAGCGGGCTGGTGCGGTCGCAGGTGGGAATGCCCTGACTGGGCGCGTTGAGTCGCTCACGGTCCGTCTCGACCACTCGACCCCGGTCAGCTTGCGTTGCGGCTCCGAGCCCTACTTCATCATCCACTCGTCCGCCGCTCCCTATCGGTATGCGAACCCAGCCCGACCCTACAAGCAAGCGCGTGCCCGCACCACCGCACACGCTCACGCACACCACTGACATGGGGGCTGGTCGCCAAATAACTGTAGGGTGGACAAGATCTTGCGCTGCTGGGACAAGGACGGACAGGAGGTAAAGGTCGATGACGCATCGGACGGCAAGGCGACAGTGATTACGGTGAAAGTTGGCATGAGCACCCTTCTGCTAGTCAAACCGCTCGTACGTTGAATCACCACCGCACACGCTCACACCACCGCACAGGCGTGTACTGACTGCTTGCTGGAACCTTTATGCAGGGCGATGTGTGTGTCGAGCCGTTCGTGAACAATGCGGCCATGGGCACGGTGCTCATGTTCGACCGGCGGCGCCTCGTGGCCTCTGGGCGCATTGAAACCGTCCAGCGGCTCGGAAGCGAGGTCATCGACTGATGCACACACTTGCCCCCCCCCCCACAAATCACGCTGAGACATCAATTTTAGCCTCAACACCAAACATGCACTCACGAGCCTGCCAACAGGATTTTGTGTAGTTTATGTTGAATGCAGAAACATGCTATCACCAGATGCACAGCAGTTGTGCGTACAACGCTGACTTCTTGGAAGTGGGGCTGAATCAGGCATGGTCTGGTGTGCTGGCAAGTCACAGTTCAGCTGGGTGTAATGAAGGAGTGGAGAGCAAGCAGAAACAGGCAGGAGACAAGCGTCTAAGGTGGAAGTCAGTCATGGTCAAGTGCCATGAGCAAAGCGCTGGCCAAGGCCAGGGGTGGAAAGCAAAGGCAGAGTAACATGGACAGCCAAGACAATGTGGATGAGGATCAAGAGGAAGAGGAGGTCATGATCCAAGATGGCAAGGAGAGCCCATCACTCTTCAACAACACTGAATGAGAGAAAACAGCGAGAAATGGCCTCTGTTTGTTGAGGGGGTTTTGGAGTGGCGGATTGGACACACGAATAAAAAGCACAAAGAAATACCTGCACACAACAGACAACCTCAGCCACAGCACCCGATGTCGAGTGCGGAGAACAAGAACGGAAGGAAGGGAAAGCCCAAGGCCTACGTTAGCACGGTCATCGACGCCCCGATCGAGGCGGTGTGGGCTACTGCCGGGCGGTTTGCCGACCTCTCGTGGGCCGGCCTCGACGGCTCATACCACCGAGCACGTGGCTTTGGCCAAGCTTCTCCTCTACGACGCCGGTGGTGTGAAACGCAGGAGAGCAGAGTTTGATGAGGCGGCCGTGGAGCAGGCCATCGAGCAGGGCGTTTACACGAGTGCCTTCAACAGCCTCCGTAAGGCCGCCGCCGTCTGATTCTTGATCTTTACAAGTGTTTAGTTTTGTCTTGGGGTGAAGGAGTCGTCAAGAGAGGGTGGTTGGGTGGTTCGGGAAAAGGGTGTCGATGGCGGAGGAGAGCGAGGCAAAGTGGACGGGCTTGGTGAGATGGAGCGCAAAGCCGGCATCCTTGCTCCGCTTGACGTCTTCCTCCATGCCGTAGCCCGACAACGCGATGCCCTGTGCGTGCGTGAGCACACACCCACAGGCACACGCACTACCGCACACGCACACTCACGACCACACACACACGCCACACGCCACACGCACGTACCTGCAGGTGGTATTTGGCCTTGAGGGCAGCCATCAGATCGAGACCCGACCCATCGGGTAGGCCGATGTCGCTGATGACGAGGTCGAACTGGCCCTTCTCCTCGTCGGCCACGCGCAGCGCATCGGCCACCGACGACGCTACGAGTACATTGTAGTTGAGCTTCTGGCGCAGCAGGCGCGCCATGATCATGAGCGTCGTCTTGTTGTCCTCCACCAACATCACCTGCTCGCCCCGAGCCCGCTCGCATCAGCGCACCAAGACCACACACACACACACACACACACACAACACGAACCTTGAGCGACCGAGTTACTCCTACGAGCGGTGAGTGGGGCGGGGTGAGCGGTGCCACCGTCTGCTCGCCGACGGTGACGTCGTGTAAAGACTTGCCCTCGAGAGGCGGCACAGAGGCGACCATGGTAGGTTCGTCGGCCGCCGCGCGTACGGTAGGGAGATGGACGGTAAACGTGGCCCCCTTGTCCTTCCCCTCGCTCGATGCCTTGAGCTTGCCCCTGTGCATCTCCACAAACGATCTGTCGCACGACACACGACACACACGACACACGACACACACGACACACACGACACACACGACACACACGACACACACGACACACGACGCACATGGGGCACATAAAGTGCGTCAGCCTCACAATAGTTCGGTTCAGCGAGTAAAGTGGGTGAGTGGGGGGGGGAAGGTACCGGGAGATGGCGAGGCCGAGACCGAGGCCGCCGAAGCGCACGGTGATGGAGGCGTCGCCCTGCTCGAAGGCCCGGAACAGGTGCGGCATGACGTGGCTCTCGATGCCGATGCCCGTGTCGGCGATCTCCACCCGCAGCATCACCACCCGTTCCAGCTCCTCGGCCTCCCCAACCGCGACGGCCGGCCCAATGCCGACATCGCGCTCGGGCGAGTGTGCGCCCGCAGTCACCGCTCGCGGTGACCGCACGCGCGGGCGGTCGAGGGCGTAGTTGGAGGTGCGGATCGTGATGGCGCCGCCCTCGGGCGTGAACTTGATCGCATTCTGGTGTGTGTGTGTGTGTGTGTGTGTTGTGTGTGTGTGTGTGTGGCAAAATGAAGTAAGGTCACGGGTTGCGTTGCCACGACAGAAAAAGCATTGGGGCCGTACCTTGACAATATTCCAAAACACCTGCTGCAACCTGCAATCGCATAAAGTAATGAAAATTACTACAACAACAAAGAATAATACGAATAATAAAAGAACAGTACCGAGCGGGGTCGCCGGCGAGGGTATCGGCGGTGGCGTGGAGGTGGCAGGTGATGGTGAGGTGCTTGGCATTGACCTCGTGCGCTACGATCTGCAGCGTGCGGCCGAGGATCTCGTGGACGGCCACCTCTTGCAGGTTGAGCTTGAGCTTGTTTCGCGAGATCTTGGTGAGGTCGAGCAGGTCGTCAATGAGCTGCACCTCGAGCTCGACCGACTCGTGAATGATCCGCACGTTCTCCTCCACCTGCGCCGACAGTCCCTCGCCTGTGTGCAGCGAAACAAAACTCTGAGCCATGCCGCACACGCACGACCGCACACGCACACGCACACCAGCCACCGCACACACGCACACACACACGCACGTTCGTTTACGTACTGAGGAGGGACTCGGAGAGGAGGAGGGCGGGGGTGAGCGGCGTGCGCAGTTCGTGCGACAGCGCCGCGAGAAAGTGGTCCTTGGCCAGGTTCGCGCTCTCGGCCTCGCGGTACAACCGCACATTGTCGATTGCCATCCCTGCCCGCAGCGCCAGCTCCGCACACACCGCCTTATCCTCGCTCTGCGCGCATGACACGGACTCACCGTAATGAGCGCGTGTGTCGTGTGGCGTGTGCGTGCGCGTGTGCGTGTGCGTGTCGTGGGTACCAGGAATTCGCTGTGGACGGAGGACTGGCGCACAAACAGCCAGGTGCCGTAGACCCGGCCGTGGCCTTGCAGCACGTGCACCACAAAATTGTCGGCTGTCGGCAGGCCGCACTCGATGCCCACGCGGTCGCCGTTGCTCAACCGCAGCACCCGGTAGTACCGGTCCACCGTCTGCCGCTCCTCCTCTGCCGTTTCCCTTTTGCTCGGCCCGAGCTGGTGCATTTGCCACAGCTGCGTCGACGCGTTGGCCGTGGCGATGCGCTGGAGGCAGCCGTTCTCGCCCACCACGTCCAACACGCTCCAGTCGGCCACCACCGACCCTGAACAGAGCTCGTTGCCAGTGAGCCACCGCGAGACACTGCGATGGAGCGCAGCAGGGCCGGGGTGCGTACCTTCGATGATGTCGAGCACAGACCGGAGGATGGTGGGCAGGTGGCTCTCGACGCTGGTGTTCAGCATGCGCCCGACCCGGGCCAGAAGCGCGAGCCGGGCTTCGGCCTTCTTTCGCGGCGTGACGTCGATCGTGAACACCGACACCCCGCCGTCCGACCCCGGATACAGCCGGACCTCGTACCTGCGCCGATGTGAGGCCGGGGTTCGCAAGTGCAGCAGGGGCCTCGTTGAACAGGGAGTGTCCACCACTACGTACCAGCAGTCGCGGGGGGCGTAGTGGTAATCGAATATGAGGTCGACCTGGTCCCTGATGGCCCGCTCGATGTTGCGCATCACAAGGCCGTCCTCCGTGTCGACCATGTATCGCGACGCCCGCCGGCCCAGGATTTCTGTGTTCCCAGCGACACACCACACACACACACACACACACCAAGTCAGCAGAGTGTGTCTCAACTCTGATTGGCTACCGATCTCTTACCTTCTTTCTTGGCGCCGAGCAGAATGGCCGCGTTGGCGTTGACGAACGAGTAGCGGAGCTGCGCATCGAGTGTGACGAAGGCGTCCTGGATGGACGCGAGGATGCGCTCCAGCCGCTCCTTGCCCTCGTGCACCTCCATGCGCAGGCCGGTTTCGGTGCGCGCGGCGTCGTTGCGCATGCGCGACATGTTGAGGTGGGAGGCCACGCGCGACAGCAGCTCGCGCGCCGTGAAGGGCTTGATCAGGTAGTCGTCGGCGCCCTCGGCTAGACCCTCGGCGCTGGCCTCCTCGCCGGCCCGCGCCGACAGCATGATCACCGGCAGCATTTTCATCTCGTCGCGCGAGCGGATCTCCTTGAGGAGGCCGAAACCGTCGAGGAAGGGCATCATCACGTCCGTCAGCACCAGGTCCACCGCCTCCGGGGTCGACCGCAGCGTGCTCAACGCCTCCAGGCCTGATACAAATAATAATAATAATAATAACCCATTTATATTTATCATCAGTTCATCACTTCGTTTCGCGCAGCGAGAGGAGGCAAAAAGCGAGTGGTTGGGGGCAGAAGTGGGTGCGGACCGTTGGAGACGCTGATGACTTCGTATTTGGCGCTGAGCAGACGCGCGACGTACTCGCGCATGTCGAAGTTGTCGTCGGCCAGCAGGATCTTGGCCTTGTTGTCCCGGTGTGCCCTCTGGTGCCATACACGTATACGTATACACGTAAATCGTCATCGGCCTGCTGAAGCGCAGTTGTGTGCTCTATGGGCTGCGTACCGTTTTCGACCTCTTTCGAGAGTGTTGGGTGCCCGCGCTCGGTGGTGCTATGCTGAACGATGCGGCGGTACGCGACCTTGGCGACGACGGCATTTCGGGCGAGCCCGACATCCAGGTCACCGAGCGGCTGGGCGAGCTCGAGACCGAAGACGAGGCCGACGACGACGAGGAGGAGACCGAGTTCTGCGATGACGATGACGAGCTGCTCGAGTCCCCAGACGACGTCGCGATGGCGATCGAGGGCAGCCACCACGACGCATTCTTCGAGTAGTTACGCGCGTCAGCCAGCGCGCTCGCAAACTGTTCGTCGTCGTCATGGGTCGCGGGCAATGACGATAGAGCGAGGGGGTCGAGCAGGGGCGGCAACGATGGCGCTGCCAGAGCCCGGGCGGGCAGCGGCTGTATGCGAGGAGTCGTGACCGTCGTGGAGGTCGTCTTGGTGGTCGTGGAGCAAGAAGACGCAGGCAAGCGTGCGACGCGCTTAATCTGGTCGCTCGGCAGGTGGTCCGTCCCGAATGGAATGCGCACTCGGAATGTGGCCCCTGGGGTGCAGTGTGAGATTAGTTTATTCGCGGCGCAGTGAACGTAGGGCCAGAGAGTGTACCGTAGCCGAGCTGGCTTGTGGCATCGACGATGCCGCCGTGCAGCCGCGCCAACTCGTACACCAAAGCCAGCCCTAGTGACGCAGGTCAGCAACCACCCCGACAGACGGGCCATCGAGAGGGGTTGGGTGTAAATAGAGGCGAAGAGGTACCGATGCCGGTGCCCTCGTGTGATCGGCCGCCGGGCGTTTGCACGCGGTGGAAGCGCTTGCCCAGCAGGGGCAGCTCCTCAGCTGGGATGCCGATGCCCGTATCGGCCACCATCAGCTCGGCCTCCTGTTGTCCCGTGGCGCCTGGGAAGATCGGCTAGCCGCGTCAGCCCCCAACGACTCGACGGCGGTCAGGGAGGAGCACCGCCGCGTGGTACGTACCGGGCACGGACTTGACCGCGACGCGAATGTGGCCGTGCATGGTGAACTTGAGCGCGTTGGAGAGCAGGTTGAGCACGATCTTCTCCCACATGTCCTTGTCCACGTACACCGGCTGCTCCAGCTCCTCCTCGCACTCAATCAGAAGCTCCAGTCCCGCCCTGTTGACATGGAACAACACAATGTGAGCCAACACTGTGATTCTCCCCGACGGCTGAAGGCA